GACGTCAGGATCCAGCTGCTGGTTTGTTACGTCACCGTGTGCCCCTGGAGCAAAAACACCAGCGCGGATTTTTTTGTCCCAGTTCAGCTCGGAATACATCGCATATTAAAGGCCAACAAGCCATTTCTGCGGTTTAAATACGAACAAACGCTTTTTCACCAAACACGTGCTTTCTGGCTTCGTGCTAAATCTTTCCTCTGTTTCACTGAGAGAAGCTGAAACAAACAAACAGCAAAAGAGTAACTCCGCCATAATCTGTCCAAAAACAGACCAGCTGTGAGCAAAGAGCAGAAAATGCAGAAAAACCGTTTACCTCTGAGATAAAGTTGCTCTTCTTCACAGAAGTTTGCTGTCAGAGCACCACAAGAAAACGAAAGTAGCTCCTGCTTCCTGTTTATGTCCCCCAGCTAAGCGACCGTGTTTAACACGCCTGCATGAGTCACGATCTCCCAGAAGCAGCACACTGCACAGCCACACCCAACCCCGGCACTTAAAAGTCTTCATGAAAAGACACCAGAGGGATTTCTATCGTTACTATTAAACAAAATGAGCTTTTTATTTCATGCAAACCTCTAGCCTGCCTCCAGGAGTCACTTGAGTTAAGTAGAGGATACTCAGGGCAGCCTGCTGGCTTTCCTGAGCCTCCCAGAACAAACATGAAAGGTTGAATAACATCTGTAATAAGTAGAAGAATCCTGGATGGGGGCAAGTTGGAAATTCTTTGTGATAATACGGTAATAAGTGTGATAAATCACCATGTCCTCAGTCCAGTCAGGAGGAATGTCTGTTACTTCCTTCACAAATAGCGACGTAGTTGCTGCAGTACAGCTGCTAAATGATGCACAGCACAGCAATATTGGTTTTATGAGGGATTTTAACCAGAGTATTGATGAGCTGCGCTCGTCGGAGCAGACTCACTCACATTTATTGCAGCGTGTTTGTCTGCATTTATAAATTACATGGCAATGATTTGCAAATGTTCACCAATCAGTGTGGGCTGCACCGGGATTCTCTGGACTGTGTCTACAGTCCGTCTCTGTGGAAACACCGTGTGACCGAAAATGGTGTTTCATTTTGGGAAATCAGCTGATCGCTGCAGCAAGTTATGCAAAAAATAAACAAATAAACAGTAAGTCTGTCATATGCACACAGCTTATGGCTGTCCTGCTGGAAAACGGCGTCCTGACTCTGAATGGGTCATTTTTGTCCTCTAAAGAAATGTTTTGCTATCAAAAATGTGTTTTTTATTCATCAAATGGTCTGAAAATAACAGAAGTTATTCATTACTAGGCTATGCATGATTGGAATAAGTTTTAAGTCATTTGATTTATTTATGGGGTTTTTATTGGATTTTATAACACCTGTGGTCCTCGTGGACAAACATGACACCAAAGTACAAAGTGTTGCAAATATTTTCACAACATACTGCTTTCAAACATCTTTGATCTTGGATCACTGATGTGT